TCCGGTGAGTACAACTGGCCCCTTGCAGACTCGGGCCAGCTACCCTCTATGAGAGCTGAAGGCGTGAGGGGTCGCTCCTCCGGCAACAGCGCCATCGAGGAGTCCCAGGCTCCTGCCAGCGCAGCACTGCCGTCCACCCCAGCGGAGACTTCCGTGGTAGCGCCTGGCGCTTGGCTTGTCGAAGCGGGTGTGACCGAAGGCCCAGGTATTGTAATTGCCGGGGTGTGGTCTCTTCACATCCGCTGAGAGCGTGGGACGCAAGCCGTTTTCCTCAGAGCGTCCCGGGGTGTCGTGCTCTTCAAGAGGTGACGCGAGGAGGTATCTCTTGGAGGGTGGTGTCAATTCCATCACTTGATTTTCCTCGGATTTCGGTTCGTCTGTGTTCCCGAACCACCTGAGCGAAATCAGAATGGCAGGAACAAGCAGCATTGCTCATCGGTCTGTTCAGCGAGCGGTCTGAGCCGCTCACGTCAGCAGAAGAGCTGAATGCTGATTGGTTAGTCATCGCAGGGTGTAGCGGTTTGCCATAGCCACCAGTGCATTTCTAGTCTTGAATTTGGTGTTTTCCGGGTATGCATAAGTCGGGCGATTGCGTGAATTTTACGTCTCACAGCAGCATATAACTACGTGAGCGAAAGACCCTACATAGCAGGGGCTTGCGAGAAGTCCTGTGTCGGTGGAGGGAAGCTCAATTCGCCTGAAAGAATGGGGCGATGTTAGGACCAGATTTCTCACGACGGAAATTCCGTGCATCGCTTGATTGACCAGAGATTTGAAGGTCCTGACAACAGGTCTTCCAGTTGTTACACGATGTGGGAATTTGTGCTTGTCATCATGGTAATGCCATCAGTCCTGAAGTCAACGTTGAAGTTTTAAAGGGCACGAGTTCGTAAACGAAATCGAAAAGTTTACCTAGACATGCGGCACGGCTTAAAATCTCAGCACGAACAATACGCAAAGTTCAGGGGATGTTGTTCACAACGTGAGTTTGAAGGGGGCAGAACAGTCATGACTTATGGCTGATGAGGACCCAACCTACTCCCGAAATGCGCCCCCAAACGGGGTTTTCCCCGTTATGGTTTACTTTCTTTTCCTATCTGAGGGCTGGTTCCCAAGTTGGGGAGAAGGGGGGGGGGGGAGAAGCCTGAAGCATCTGTTACTGAAAAGGAAACTGCGTTCCTGGAAAAGTCGTAACATGAAAGACGTTAAGCCACACCAGGATTCTACCTAACAAATCAGAAACAATCCGACGGAGATAACATTGGTGTTTGTATATCCAAGCTGTCCGCGATAACATAGGAAAGGACATCATCAGTAGGCTTTCTGGATGTTTCGCAGAACGGTTACGGTCTTCTATGTGCCAGTGCCAAAACCTAGGCGCTGTGACTGACTGCTGTGCGTCGACATATACAGTTGTTATATATGTCATATATGTTATATATGTCATATACAGTTGTTGGCATATACAGTCATCTTCCAGACTATGTGTTTTGCAGCCAACTGTTGTTTGGTTGTTGGAAACTGAACTCTGACTCCACTTCGACTAAGCCGACGACATTAATGACCGTTGAAGTGGTGTGAAAAGTCGGTAAAAAACGCTGGAGTTGGTACCATTGGGTATTCTATTAGGCTCCTACAATGCACCGCTCCAAATCAAGAAGCAAATGTGAGCCTTTCACATGTTCAGCGTCTAGTTGCTTTCCTCGTGCTTGGTGCACCTTCTTATCACAACAGGTGATGCGCCCCGCCATGCTCGTCCTCAGGAATCCCTTCATCATATACTTTCCTTTCATTCCCTTCATTGAGAAATCATAACCATTAAGCCATCTGAAATCCCCTCATTCATACAAGCCGTTTGCCCCTGTGCACCCACCCCTCACGTCCCTATTTGGTCAAAGCCATCCATTAAATCCGTCTCTTTCACTTCCATCCCTTCCCATCCCTCCATGATCATTTTTTCATAGCTATCCATTCACGTCCCTGCATAAGGATGCCTTCACACCCTCTGCTTTCCTTTGCGCTTTCCTATGGCCATCCCTCACCATTCCAGTACGGTCCAACGCCCCCCCCCCCCCTCCCACACAGCAACTCACCCTCGCATTGATGGTCCCCGCTTCGCAAAGATATCCACCGCATGCACGGCACCAGAATCTCCGGAGTCTCCCCCACAGCACCGGAGTCTCCGGAGTCTCCTCCACAGCACCGTCTTCCACGACCACGTCGTCTTCAGAACCGTCTTCCACCAAACGTCACCTCCGCGACACCACTCGTGGCCCGGCGGCGCACCCCGCCGGCGTTTGCGGAAGCGTGAGCGTGACACTGGCGGGGTCACCGCGGCGTGGACGGGTCCACAGAACCGTGGACAGGTGGACACGAGCGGCGGCCAGCGCGTCGGGCTCGCGCGCGTCACCCACGATGGTGAGCGTTCAATCGATTTCTGTCAAACTGAAGGCCTTGCCAGCAGCAGCTTGCCCGTTGTTACGTCACCAAAGAGCGTGCGATGTAGTCCCTAGCAATTGCTTAATGTTTTAGAATCACGGAATAATTCATGTTAGCCTTCGGTAGATACAGGGCCCGACATAGCAGGATAGGGGAGGGGAGAGGGGCGGCGGCAGTCACTCCCTGCTGGCATGCAGGGGGTATGTACTTGTCCCCCCCCCCCCCTCCACCACCACCACCCAACACCACACCACCCACCACCACCCACCCACCACCACCACCACCAATTTTGGGAGGACCCTCTTGCCCATGCGAAGACTTTTTAGCTCACGTGAATTAGATCCCGATCAAGATTCAGATCAAGGAGGCCCCATAGGTCAGCTACAGGTTACCTGATCAGCTCAGACGGCTTGTACTGCATCAAGAGGCCCGTTTTCTGGATGATGAGACCACCTTTCTGAACTAGGTATCCCTTGCTCTCAACCAGGAGTCCGAATTTTGTGTTAAGGAGGCCCTTTGCTGGCTCGGAAGGCCACCATCATGAGCTAAGAGGCCCCCATGAGTCAAGGATTCCCTTTGCTGACTCGGAAGGCCACCGTCATGAGTTAGGAAGCCCCCATGGTGAACTAGAGGACCACGTTTTGAACTACGAGACACCCTTTATGAACTAGGAATTCCCCGTTTGGGACCAAGATGCTCCTGCTTTAAACTAGGTAGATCCCGTTTTGAATAAGGAGACTCACTGATGTCCTAAGAGGTCCCAGTTGTGAAAATAAGACCCCTTTATAAAGTAGGAGGCCCCGCTTATGAAGTAGGAGGCCCCTGCTATAAACTATGATCCCGCGCTCTGAAATAGGAGGCCCTCCTGGTTATCTCTGATTTCTTTTCCGGATCAGGAGACACCATTTTCATGTACAGGACATAAACCTTCCAGAACAGGCTCCTTTCATGTACCAGCATACCCGTAGCCAGACCAAGGCTGCTGGGGTAAATAGTGGACGGAATCAAAGGTGGACAAGCCTTTTTCAAGCACAATCCATTTTGCTGGCTGGTAAAATGCCACTACCAGTTTAATAAGCAGTTTTGAAGGAGTGGTTCGCACTTCAAGCTAGCGGATCGATGGGGCATGGGAGAAACATAAATCGGGACTTAAAGGCGGAAGAAAACATTGTGAATGCTTTGTCATATGAATGCAACATGGCGCATACTGGATATGGACGTGACATGGAAAACGATGTGTAAGAACAAGTAGGCGAAGTAGTGACTTGTTAAAACTTGGTAAAATACTGACTTATGGAGCTACTTCGCACGGATAACATTCGGTTTGGATGTGTGTTGACTTAATATCTGTTTTATGGACCGTAAAGAATGCGGCCAACTTTGCACAAGGTTTTTAATTCTAGATGGTGAGGCACTTCCGTTATCTCATTCTTCTGAAAACCACTGGTACCAAAATTGGAAACAGCAAAAAATGTTTCTAGGGATTGCGCATCGACTTCAAAACTTGCAGTTTTTTCGACAAAAATATGTCAAAAATGGGCACATTTGCTTCTATAGACGTGAGCATTTGCTGTATGGAAATACGGGTGCCAACATCGGGCATATGGTAACACCTATGCCTGGTAATTCAGCCTTCATTTCATGTCAGTTTCATTGATCTACCCCGACCAGTTGGCTTTCAAGGTCAGTTGGTGTCATATTTTATGTTTATCTTATCAGATTTTATATTTATATTATATCGAAATGACGCCCTCATGGATGTGCAGTTGACAAACGATCATGCAGACATGGGTTCCTTATCGCTACTCTTTTTGGACGGTATGTGACCGCTGTGCTGATGCCCAATTCCCAGCAAGCCTACACTTTTAAAAGGTTCAGGTTAGGTCAGGTTGTGATAGGTCACGAGACGCTTGCCATTGATTCAGCATTGATGGCAACGGGGTTCTGTCAGCTCCGCAGATTTGCATCATTTTTTCGGACTGAATCATGTTGTCGCTTCCATGGTTATCTCCGGGAACGTTTTTTTGTGAAAATATAGTGCAAACGACCGAAATATTTGCCATGTTACAGCAACCATCAGACAACAAAAATTGCATAACATGCTTAACTAGACATAACGAAACCGTCTCTGCCAATTGCACATATCGCAAGTGCACTTTCAGTGCCCGCGCTTGAAGTCAAACATTCCAAAGCTTCCCTTCAAAGATTTGCCTTTTCAGATCCATTTGCTGCCCCTGGGGCTGCCCCTAACCACGCCCGGCGGGCTACCATCCCTGACCAATTATGCCCACCCGTTACCCGTTCTTTTGCATTTTCCTAGATATTTAATTACAAAACATGGAAGACTCTCAGAAACTTTTGCGCTCAAGCATGCTCTTTTGTGTGGGTTGTTGATGGAGCTAACTACCTCTAAATCAAGCACAAGTGTAACTTTGCGCAGAATCTCTTAGAGAATCTATCCGACATTTCGTAAATATCCTTCTCATAGCAGTGTCCCTACTTGTATACCCAAACATATACGCCAACCTACCATGTTACCCACAAAACATGGGTACCTACGGGTTACCCAATCGCGGAGTCCCTCTGACCCGCGCCCACCCGTTACACACTCCTTATCAGTGCTTCCTGCACGTCACCCACCCGTTTTCACTGTTTA